CAAAATTACAGAAATGAAAGTCTGCTGGAAATATCCAAGCATAAGTGTCGAAGTAACAAAGAACGAAGAACTCAATTGAACGCGAGCTCAATCATGAAATTTCAGCTGGGATATGCTACTGCTCGATGTCGCAAAAAACACGGAGGTAACTCTGCTTGCTATATTTCCAGACCGTGTTAGCGGAAAATAAGAAAAAATTATCTTTTGTGGTGACCCCGAAACATCGTGGACAATCAAAATTTCGATTAGAAGACAGTTTTTTATTCAAACCATCTTTGTAATTAAACCAGTCAATCCAAACATAAATGTTATTAAATTTAATTGCTTCTTAATGTGTTGAAAAAGTTGCAAACAATAGCCAATTTTTTCTAACTTCAAGGGTTCATAATTTCACAAAAAGAAGAAAAAATTCTAGCCTATGACGAAACACAAATCAAGCTAGCGCAAAATCAGTTCGCGTCTTTTTATGTTTCCTGTGATTTGTCGAAATTAAAATATTTGGCAGCTTTTTTGAAAAGGCGCATCCTTGCAGCTAAACTTAATAAAAGCTAAAGAAAATACCTTGACTCGCAATTAAAATAATGTCTAATAGACATTAAATCTCAGGAAACTGTACTGATGGTAGCACAATTGATTAAATTTACGGCCTGACAAACCCTCTAGGCAATGTTTTCGGGCCGTAAATTCAGAAACCACTGAGCAAAGCGATCGGTGAATTCTATCAACTTCATTCTATTCATGTTGATTCATCTGGAGTTGGACCAGCTTGTATGTATAACTTCCATTTAAGCAAACCTTATTAACTTCGATCCCTTCATAGATGCCTCGTCAAAAAATAATCAATTATTCAGGTGGGCATCATTTCACTAAAAAAACTAAAAAATATTAATAATAAAATAATAACTTGTTTCCAAACGATATCTAGTTACAGAGTTATTTATAAAAAAATTATAAATACATATTGGAATCGTTTGCAAAACCCCATCAAGCCAGCACCGCCCGTTTTCAGGTGTCTCATTAAGCGGAGAACAAAAAAATTAGTTAATTTCTCCGATCCAATTCAGTAAACATTTATTGAACGTAAAACCTCTTTATTCGCACCTTTAAACCATTCTCTTTATAAAAAATTAAATTTATTATTTATTATCTCGGGTAGTCTTTTCTACCCATAACCTAGAAACAAACAGAAACAAATTCTACATGTTGAGCAAAAAAAATGTCTCAAAGCATGCCCAATAAAACCGTATTTCCTAGAATGTAATTATCCAAAAATTTATGATTAAAACTATTCAATTGAAATCGAGAATCTCTATTCAAGAAATTGACCCAGGCGGGAAATAACTTTACAACAAAATTGAACATTTTTCTTATTTTAGGTGTAATCGACGATCTGTTGAGTATATTTGTATTTATAGCTAACTTTTGATTTCTTTTTCTCTTTGAAAATATCACGTTTAACTCATGTTCAGTAATGCAGTAATGGAATATCTCAATGGATCAACTTGGCATTCTTTTCGAATAATTTTCTCGGCTAATTTCAGAACTTCGTACGCAGAAAATTCTCTTACGGTATATATTTTTTTTCATGGAATATTTCAGTGATTGAATTCATCCTAATGTTTATAAAAAATTATTCTGATAAGCCTTTTGATTTTCATTTCCAGTTCTAACAGTTTGGTTTTGTCGGTATTTGCATAAAATAAAACTCCATATTGGATGATTGGTTGGACATCACTTTTATACGGAAATATTAATTGCTGTCCAAATAGAAACTTTCTCAATTGAAAAAACACTCCACGGAAATGCAAAACATTAATTTTTACCTTATCAATATGTTGACGAAAATTCAATTCACAGTCAAGGTGAAATCTAAAATATTTAAAATCTTTTATTTGGGTATCAATTAAAAAACATTTGACAGGTCTTTTTGCAGTTTTTTTTTGGTCCAACAGAGGCTCATGGTCTTGGTTTTGTTGACATTTAGTGCTAATTTGTTCTTTTCTAACCAATCATTTACTTCAGGCAAAGCCGATTGATGTGCGAGAACAATATAATCTTTGTTGTTTGTGGATTTCAGAACGGTGTCATCTTAATCAGAACATTTCTGTCTTAAAAAAAGTTTGTTTCGATGTACTGATAGCGATTGTCAAGGTAGGATTCTAAGAGCTTTAAGACAGGACCTCTGAATCCCATATGTTCTAATTTTATTAGCAGATTAGAGTGATCAACTGTGTCAAAAGCCTTTGTTAGGTCTAAAAATGTATTCTGAACAGTTAGTTTTTTGTTCGATAGCAATGTTGAAACTTCTTCCAACAATATAAGGATGGTGTCAACAGTGCTCCTTTTTGATCTGAAGACAAACAGTGTTTCGGATGATACTAAACTTGTCTAATATGATTGGGCTCGTCTGAAAATTAAACGCTCAAAAAATTTTCCCAGAACTAGAAGAAGCGAAATTGGTCTACAGTTTGAGGGGTCATCGATTTTTCCTTCCTTGAAAATTGGTACAATTTTTGCAATTTTTAAACAATTTGGGTAGATTCCTGAGTCATTAAAACTTTCAGTCAAAGGGCCTGCTAGTATAGTTTTAAATGCTTGACGAGAACAGTGTTGATATTATAGCAATCTGTACTAGATTTATTTTTTTAGACCTTCGATGGCTTCAATTAAACCAATTTTTTTTTTCAAAAACCGATTGCTGCTGACGGATAACATTATTTTCTATGCAGGTTTGCTTAGTGAAAGTCTGGCGCTAATATTTGCGAAATATTCGTTGAAAGGCGCATCGTCTTCCTTAGATATATTAATTGACTTGGAATTTTTTCTCTTTACCTCTTATTTCATTAAAAGTGTGAAAAAAAAATTTTCGTTTTAGAATTAGACTCAAGTTTTAATTTATTTTGATAGTATTTTCGTTTCTTACGGATGATTGGGTTTTTGGCAGTTTTTATTTTTGGAACTAGATTTGTTCCGGGCATCCGTTGTTTTAACATTCAAAAATTCTTGTGGTAAACGTCGCTTTTTTGCTGCTGAATTTTTACTTCCATTTACTTTTGGGCCGAAAACCCGAAGTTACTCAATGAAGCGATTAATTAAAAGATTTGAAGATGTGGTTGACTTCAATATTGAAAGCTTACCAGCTTTGAGGCAATGTAGAAAACCTTTTAACATTTTTTGTAACAATAAATCATGCCAGTTTAGGCCAAAATTAATTGAGATGCCATAATACATTAAGCAGTAAATCAGTTTTGGTTCGCATAAGAGTAGCATTCGGAACACTCGACAAGATAATTTCGGGCAACAATTTGCGACGCGGACAAAAGAAGCGAACAGTTATCAGGCTTCAAATGACAAACAATTAAGTTTCTTGTATTTTGGATTTAAACGATATTAGGTTATCGAACTGGTACCCTATAGCAGTGGTTTCAATATGCTAAGATACTATGGTGGGTGGAAAATGTACGGTATGGAGGAAAACTGTTAAAAAGTTTGGAAATTCTACAAGCTCAAATTTTAAAAAAATATATATATACATACTAAAAAATTCGAGGAATTCTAACTTGCGTTACCAAAGATAACATTGCCAGCTAGCTGACAGAAATTAAAATAAAGGCCACTTAACCGCAAGAAACTTGAAAAAATGGCGAGCAGCAACTAAGCTGACAACAATTAGGTGAGCGCTCGTTGAGGTGAGAGCAAAAAAATTCTGAAATTCGAAACTTTCACGCCCTCTTCCCTCTGGAACAACACAAAAAGATTAAAAAAAACTTTTCTTACTTTCAAAAGACGCAAAATTAGATCACTAAGCCGATAAAAACTATTTAGGCCGAATAAAACTTTGAGCCAAAAAATTACAGAAATGAATCAAAATTGCTTTCAATTACAATGAAAATTGCTAACTGCGCAAGAAAAGTCGGTGATCTGGCAAACATGCCGACAAAACATAAGCTGACAAAGGATAGGCCGATAATTTTTTGAAATTGAACATTCCCAGTCGTAATCATAACCTCTTCAACAAGTGAGCCTGAGAAGCTTAGATATTTGAATCTATTGTCAATCAAGCTATCAAAAGCTTCAAGTGATTTTTTGAGTTAATTGCGCCAAAACTTTTTAATTCTGATTAGACAAAAATTCGGGGTTTTATTCAGCCGTTGAGCCAAAAAAAAAGTCATATAAAAGTTTGAGCGTTAAACCACTTTGAAACTCATCGAATAAGACTTCCAAGCGAATAAAAAACTGAAATTTTACAAAACCGGAGTTTTTTAATTAACAAGCTAAATTAAAAATTCGAATAGGTTGAGTAACTAAAAAGCCAAAACAATCAACAAAACCTTCGAAATTGGAAAACTTCAATTAGGAAAAAACACGAAAATACTGATAGACAACTCAGCCTTCCATTCTTTTTGATGAACACAGCAGCCGATACTTGCAGCTGGGAAATCAGAAAAGAAGACAAGCGACTGCAAATAAAGAAAGCCAAAAATTAAAAAAATATCATAACCTTCAGAGCCACAAAAATAGTTTCTCGCAAATTTGTTCGCTTTTCCATTATTATGTTTTTTGGTTTCAGAAATGAAAACAAAAGTGGGCCGGAAAACGAAGTCCCAAGATTATCCCTTGTTGGGATATTTCTTTTTCAAATTCGATTCTACATTTTTATTCAAAGTTTTAGTGTAATACAAGAGCGAAACAGCCCACAAAATTGTAGTTTTTGAAGTTTTATTTGCAATTTTTATTCTAGCTACGACCCCTATATATTCAACTAATAATTGAGTTTTTGAACGCCAAAAAGGGGTCGAGCTTGGAAAAAACCAACGGCCGAACTTTCCTATGCCAAAAAAGTAAGCTGACATCACAATCAGCATTCTCTGATTTCGAAGTTCCTGATTAATTTTTTTGATTACCTTACCGTAGGGTTACTAATTCATCACTTCTGGCTCGAAGTAACTCACCGTTTTGATATTCTCACTGGATTCTCAGAAGCAACCTTCAGTACTCACCTAGATTGTAAGGTCGACACACTTTCGCACCATCTTTGTCGTACAAAGTTAGGAAGAAATGGGCGCCAAGAGGGATTTTGTTGAGAGCATTTTTAGCTTTCAACTTGAACTCGAACGTGTCATGAGTCAGCTGTCTCTTCTCAATTATAGTCATAGTTCCCCATGCAGGTATGACCAAATTAGAGACAAGAGCTTTGTTCACGAATGTCTGTAGTTTGCCCACATAGTATTCGTCCAGCATCATGGCAACGTGAGGTTCATGGCTTGATTCGAAAGCGTAGGAACATTCGGTTCCGGCATAAGCTGCAAACAGCTCGCTTCCTACACAACAACATTTATTTATGCAAATTTTAAGTCGGTTGGACTTAGATAACTATGCACCGATGACAGGTTGTACGACTTGCGCTTAGAAAAAAAAGGAATTCCTTAAATCAAATCATGAAGACGAAAATTAATTCCTCGTATTTTTTTTAAATTTTAAATGCTTTACAACTCGTATTCGCACTTCAAAATTTACTGATTACAAGATTCAATAACAGGTGTTCATTTATTTATTCATTGCTATACACACCAAACTAAACTCTGATTACCATGGCATCAATTCAGTACACTTACAATGCAGAAAAAATTTGGCATCAATACAGTACACTTACACTGGAGAAAACATTGAAATGAAATAAGTTGAATTAAACACGTTCGTTTTTCTCGTATCTATGATTAAAACTGATTGTTTTTAGTTAGAAAATTGTGTTACTAGGATCCAAAAACTAACGCCAATTATGGCTATCCAGGAAAGCTCAGCCAAAAATTGAGAAGTACAAACAAACTCCTTACATCTCCAAAACAGCGCACAGAAACAAAACAAGGTTTAATTTTATAGTCAAACAGTCCGAATTTTTTATCTCTAATATTGTACGCTTTATTAACAATTATGCCCGAAGAACGTTGCGACAAATGCTTCAAGGTAAGCTATTTTGATTTCATGTGTGAAAAATAAGGACCAATCCATCAATGAACTCTTCCCAATGGTATTCAAGGATATCCATTTTTGGCCAATCATCTCTAAATATCAAAGCGCGAAGAGGAGTTCGCACTTAAAAACGCAATTTTGCTGAAAAGTATCCGACGGCGGCAGAGCAATAAGCGGAATGGTCTAAGAGCAAAATGGGTCCAATAGCAAGAAAAAAAGAAAAAAAAACAACTTTTATTGACTTAACGGGCTATTTGATAAAACAATTATTAGAACATCTTCAATAATACCAAGAAAATGCATAAGTAATGCATGAATTGAAAAATTTCATCAAGTTTTTAGAATGAATTAGAAAAAAATCTTGATTAAATTACACAAATATGCAAAAAATCTTCGTTTCTTTGATAATATTGACAATTCTTATACATAATTTACCGATTAGCATATAAAGGGTAATATTTTACTGTTTCTCTGCTCCTGGACTCATTCTGCTTATTGACTGGCCACCGTTTCCGACACAGGCTACTGAAAACGCGTTTTAAGCCCTTTTTCCCCAAATTAACAGCGGTGCGAAGCTTTTCACATATTTGAAAAGGTTTTGAAAATTATTTCTGACAATAAGAAACTCAGCAAAACTCAAATACCATATACTGAAAAAGAATCGAATATAAAATCATTATTTGTCAGTCGAAATTTTTTGGGTTTTTTAATCACACAGAGGCGAAACGGAGTTTGATTTAAAAACCTTTTTACCTTGGTCTCGACTGATGTTCGAATACAGGAATGACCAGGCAATACAGAAAATCAGAGATGGTGAATTTACAAAATAAAGGGCGAATTTCAATTACTGTGCAAATTGTTCAATTAAACAAAATTCATGCTTTCGAAACTAAGCCGACAAAAAATAAGCAGAGACAATAGTCCGACAATTCAAGTTTTGCAGCAAAATAAAATAAATTTCAAAAACGCTATTTAAAAACAAGGATAGCCGGTTACTGTGCAAGTAGCAGAGAATGTCCCGACCATAGTCTTTAGAAAACTACGGCTTAGAAAAATTTATTCCAAATTAGTGTAATTTTTTCTGCTGGGTGGGATAAAAAAATCTGATGTAAAAATATAGTTTAGGCAGGGCATATTAGAGACAGTCATAGTAATAGAAGCAAATTGGACAAAAAATTTGTAGAAAAATGACTAGAAAAACTAAAAAGTAAAAAGAAATTAAATTTTTTGCAGTAAATTTTTGTATTTTTTTGAAGTTTTTGGTTCCCAAGATGAAGCTAAGAAACTAGTTTTACTTGCTTAAATTTAAGTTCTAAGGTCTGAAATCAGGCATAATTTAGCTGTTGTAAGCCTGCTCGCTTGCAATATTCGCTCGAATTAGGGCGAAAAATCAAAAACTTCGAACCAGTTTTTCTCGACAACAGTGGTTCGAATCACAAGTGAAAAGGCTTTAAAAAGATATATCACTCAAACCAGTCCGATGATTATTTGTGGTATTTGATTTAACGTGAAAAATAAAAAGAAAAAACTAAAACACACCCGAATACAAAGTTCCTCCCCCTTTTCAATGGTCGGAACAAAAACAAAGTCCAGCCGGAATTCGGGGTCCAGACATGACAATTCAACAACAAGCGATTTACAACTTAAGCAAATGTGAATGCGCCCAAAATAGTCCTCGAAAATTGAAATTTTTGTTGAGGCGGATTGAAACCTACGACCAGATTTTGACTCGCACGTCCTCGCATCGGCGGGCCCTTAAAAAGAACTTAAACTAGATACCACTAAAACTAGCCGCACCGGCCCTTAAAAAGAACTAAAACTAGCCACCACTAAAGCACTACATATGCTAAGATACTGCCAATGCTATACAGCAAAAGTCAAACCAAATATAAATATACACAAAAATTGCATATTTCCGAAAATAATTGAATTGAAAAAGACAAAAATATGGTTGAGAAACTCAAATTGCCTCATATGCCAAAAACAACTAGGAACAAAAGTAATCTATTCCTGTGCAACTACGACAGGAAAATCTGAATTACCTTCGAAGAACAAAAAAGGGAAAATTTTCAACGCAATTTCTTGAAGTCTTGTTAGCGCCGAGATGGCGCTAACTGATGGTTCCAATACTGCTCTATACGAGCTTGATTAAATAAACTATTATAAAAAATTTAGACTGTACAATAAGAAATTATCATTTCATCGTCAAATTTATAATAGACTCGCTCATAACAAAAAAAAATTAGAATAATTTTCTTCACACTCTAATCGTCGAATCAAGCACGACTGGAACGTCTCCAAATAATATATCACTTACCCCGTCCTATATTTAATTGTGGTAACAGATTATGCGTGGGAAAAAGGTTCTGTGGCTTACCAACGATTTTTTGTTAAAAAAAAACAATTAACCGTTACACAGAGGCGAAGCTGTGAATCGCAAACACAAGCGAGAAAAAGGCAAAAATTAGCTGTAAATAAAACAAGAAAAATAAGAGAGAAAGAAAATGTTTGAGATTTGAATTTTTCCAAAGAAATAACATATCTCTTAATGTCTCAAAAAATAAAGGAGTAGCCAATTCTGCATGAAAAATTTGCGCAACCGCTTCTTCCGATTGAACTCATCTCAGATTTGATTGGATAGTTTTAAAGAACCTTCAAAAAGTTTCTTAAAAAATGGTCGTTCAAAACTTGAATTTTCGAAATCCGTATTTTTTCTGCTAAAAACAGGTCTTGGCCGGTAAAGTAGAGAAAATTTCCAAAGTCGGGTTTCTCGATCGAACATTTAACCTGAGAATTGGCACGGTAATTTTCGAGTGAAGTAAAAAACTTCAACAAAAACGATTTCAAAGCTTAAATTTATTTAAATACATTTTTTTAGAGAAATTGGGCGTAACAAAATATGAAGGTAAGCTTCAAACAACATGTTGTGTCTATTAAATCTTTGATATCAGATTTGGCAGGATAGTTAACCAGAAGTGCAAAAAACGGTCAACAAATCAGAAAGTTGACATTTCCGAGAATCATAGCTTTTTGCTTAAAAAATTTTGGGCTGAGCCGCTTATGCAGAAGAGATTCACCCAAGTTATTATTTCGATTGAACCCAAAACCACAGGTTTGGCAGTGTAATTTTCGAGAAAAAACCAGAAGTCAAAAATAACTTTTTGTATAAAACAAACTGAGCGTAGTCGCGTACCCAAAAGAGCTTACCAAAGCCCGTTCTTTTGACCCAAAACCTCAGATATGGAGGGTTTTTTGGATTAAAAAACGCTCAGAAAATCAAAAAATCGATTTTTCACGACCTTAGGTCCAGGAGGTTGGGTTTCGCGAAACGTCAAAAAGATTCAAAATACAATTATCTTAATCTGAAGACCATAATTTTTCAATTAAAAACAGTTTGGGCGTAGCCGCTTAAAAAGGAGAGCTTTTCAAATCTCTTCTAATCAATTGAACCGATAGAACGAAAGAAAAACCAAAATAATTGGTCAAATATTCAACCAACTTTTTCGAAGGCTGTAGACAAAGATACAGAGAAAAAAGATACGAGGGGAGTGCAGGTACACAAGTGTGTAAAAGATCTTTTTATGTATACAGCCTTTCGAAAATCGGTAGATTTGCAAAAAGAGGTGAAAATTTCCAAAAAAAAATATATATTAAACATTATTTTCTTTCAATTATTTTCTGATCTCGCATGTGTAATCAAAACAGGTATTACAAATCAAAAAAGATTTTTTTCCGATATCAGCAGTACATTACAGCTTCTCGAGCTGACTTTTCAAGAAAACAGCTTTGATCATTTATTTCTCAAAGGAGCTTTTGATAACTTCGATTTTTCAGTTTTAAGCAAGGCAACTATTTTGAAAAATCAAGCCAGATGAAAGTTAAATTATCGGCTTGAACAAGTTTATCATTGGTCCACCAACAAAGCATAACCAGGGTTGGCATGTTATTTAACATTGTTATTTAACATTGAATTTAACTTACAGTGTTATTTATAATTTCTAACAGTGATGTTAGCTATTTCTTAGAAATAAGAGTAATTCTTAGAAAAACACAACGCAGCTATACTGCATGCTTGTTCCGAAACGATTGTAGCGAATCCCGAACGGATGAAAAAAAAATTTCAAACCAATTGCAGTTTCACTTGACAAACTACAGAGCGAAAAATCTCACCTGACGTATGGGAAGCTTCGTGCTCAACTCGGCGCTGAGAAAGCCGGAAAGTTGGCGTTTCTGTTCAAGAAACTCAACTCTTGTTGATATGTTAATTTAATTAACAATTTAACAAAAATAACATGTTTTTTTTCGATAAATAACAGTTAGTTTGTTATTTTTGTTTTTAACTTACATTTTGCCAACCCTGAGCATAACCCTGCAAGATGAATCCAGATACCGTCTACATGACATTCTAAACACTCAACGCTTCATTTCTATAATTCTTATCCAGGTAAGTGCCCTAACTATGGCCTATCATCAGCGTGCAACCCAAAAATCAACGTCCACTCCCAAACCATCAGCATTTACCCCGTTGCTATCGTCAGATTACTATCCAGAAAAAAAGCAGCGTCCGACCTCAGGAACATTAATGTTAAATCCAGGTCAAATCTAGCCTCTCTTTGCAAAACTCTAGAGCTGTACTTAACGAAATTACCGAGCATAAGAGTTGCCAAACCAGGGATGGGTCAATAGCGAAATGGAATAAATACCGTTAGAGGTGAACTTATAAGTAAGCTGGGCCTTTCTCACATTTTTCCGCCGTAATTAAACATTACTAGCGTGTAACGCACCCCCCGGTGCTTCAAACTTTTAACAACTCATATAAAACCGCATATATTGGATATAAGATCCGCATCCATTGAGTGTACCCTGACAGCACCCAATTACAGGGTCGGCATTTTCAAATTTTGTAAAGTTGTTTTATTCAAGCTTTTTTAATTCAAAATTTGAAAAATTTAATTCAAAATTTGAAAAAAAATAGTGAAGTTTTTTATATGTAAATGTTTTGAAATGTTTTATAAAATTAAATAAGAAATGTCACATCTCGAAAACTTAAAGCAATTAACCAGTCGCATTTTGACGCAAGATTTTCATCTCCTGTGAGTAATCTTACAGTACCCAACTATAGCGTTGGGAATTTTCAAATTTGAGAAACTTCAAACTTAAGTTTTCTACAATTTTTTTTTGAAAAACCAAAAGACACCATATGGGGAAAACTACAATGATTTGAGCAGTCATATTTGGAGAATAGATTCGCACCCTCTGCGAGCACTCTGACAGCCCCCAACTACAGGGTTAGGAAATTCAAATTTTGAAACAAAATTTTAAATTTAGGTTTTCTGAAAACTTTTAGAAAAATCACAAAAAACGTCAATTATGGAAAACTACAAATATGTGAGCAGTCATATTTGGAGGCGAAATTCGCAATCCCTGAGAGTACTCTGAGAGTCCCCAAATAAAGGTTTGGGAATTCCATTTTTAATTTTCAGAAAATTTTTTGGATTATCACAAAAAACGTCATATCTCGAAAACTAAAATGATTTGAGCAGTCATATTTGGGGAAAAAAATGCAACTGTTGGAAGTACACTGACAAAACCTCACTATAGAGATTGGAACTTCAAATTTGGCAACTTTTTTAATATCTAAGTTCTTTGAATAATTAGAAAAAAAAACATAACAAACGTCACATCTCGGAAACTAAGGACCTTTAATCAGTCGCATTTGGACGCAAGATTTGCGATTTGGAACTCCTGAGAGTACCCTCACAGTAACCAACTAAAAAATTGGGGATTTCAATTCTTTTGAATTTTTCAAAATCTAACTTTTCTGAAAAATAAAAAGAAATCATAAGCCAAGCCATATCTCGAAAATTACAAGGATCTGAGAGTCATATTTGAAGGCAAGATTCGCGACCCTTGAGAAAATTCTGACAGCACTCCACTACAGGGTTGGGCATTTCAAGTTTTGTAAATTATTTTTTAAATTGAGTTTTCTGAAAATGTTTGAAAAAAATCACAAAAATCGTCGTATCTCGTACACTAAAAGAATTTGGGCATTCAAAATCGGAGGCCAAATTTGCAACTCCCTAGGAGAAACGCTGACAGCATCGCACTATTGGGCTGCTTATTTTACCCTCGGTAAGTATACACTGAGTTCAAACTGGAAATCGAAAAAAAAACAACCATTGCAATATACGATATAGCTTAAACGTGAAAAAAAAAATCCTGCGTTAAACATGCAAAAAATACCTTGAAAAAGCTTAAGAATGGCGAGATAGTGAAGCCCGCATTTAAATGTATAATAGAATTGCTGAGAAATTAGTGAAAATTATCAACAAAATAATTCAAACTCGACTGAGCAAAACAAATTCGATAGATTTTTGATGAAATCAGTTTATCTACACGAAGTTATCCCAAATTGACAATTTTCATATCTTTTATAATCTTATGAAATATGATCGCAGGTGAAATATCTCTTAAGTTTGGATCTTAGTGCACACATCTTTTAGATGAAGAAAAATTCCGTCAAAAATTTTCGAGAGAATCGAAAATAAGCCGGATGAAAAACACTACGAACAAAATATTCTCCGAAAATCGGGAAAAAAACGTGATACCTATAAAAAGTCAGAAAAACAGATTAATCCTAAAATAAATTTGAGTCTCGAAAGACAATTACGAAAGCTGCTAAATCTTCTGAGATAATTCGAGTCAAACCGAACCCAAAGCATCCCAAATACTACATGATCTTACTGATTACGTCAATATGAACAACACACTCAACGTTTACTGGATAAACCAGCATTCAATACATGAAATATTGAATTAAATCGCCGATTTGCAGGTCCTAATTTGACACCTTTAGTACGCCAGTGAAATTAGGTACCCACAACAAAGAATTATGTAGCATATTTGTAGCAAGTAAAGTAGTGTCACTGAAAACTCGAAGCTCAGGGAGCACTACAACAACAAAAGCGTAGCATTGCAAACTACCAAATAGAAAGTGAGATGGCAATAACTAAGTCGAAAAGAAACTAAGTTTGAAAATTGAAAAATTCAATTCTGGAAAATAGACGAGAAATACAACCACAAGCATTAAACAAGCTTTTAGTAGTTTCCGAGAGTTCAATAAGCCCACAACAGGTGTTAGACACCCATAGATCCGAAAAAGTACAACAAGAAAACTGAAAGTCAACCAGTCAGGTCTAGTAAATTTACAAACTACAGGAGTTAATGAATGACACTCGAGACTACAAACCTAGCCAATCGAAGATTGGAAAAGAGTAATGAACGCAAGTAAACAGAAAAAAAAACACTGACTTGGTTGAAAAAAAATCTCAACTTTCGAATTTCAAAGAAAAAATAGATCTTTGAATTTCTAGAACAATTTATGATTGGCGCTTTTTTGATAATATGAACCCAACTTGAGAAAACTGGATCAATAGGTAAAGTTTTTCTTCCGCTGGGAAATCTTAAAAACAAAGACCACTTTCGAAACTAGAAATTGTTCACGTTTTTTTGCGCCATTTCTACGTTCGTATTTGGAGAGTTCTATTTACGTCACTTTCAGCGGATGGATTTCAAATGAACTCAAAAGAAGCATTATATCCAAGTGCATCAATATTTTAAGACTTCCTGAGAAAAAACAATCAGAAAGACCTATATAAGAGTTTTCACTACGTTCACTACTCTTTTTAAAAACTACTTACAGTGCAAAAATTCAAAAAAAAACGCGAGGTGGCAACTAAGCCGACAAACTCTAGCCGGACTAACCAATATTCCGGGAGAAAATATCAATTTCAGACACTGAAAAAAAAACAAGATCCGACCGGGACTCGAGCCCCAGACCATGGGATGCAAAGGCAACTGCATACCTCTAGACCAAGTGTGATGGAGCCTGGAAGTTGCCATGTTCGACACAGACAAAACGCAGCTCTAGAATACTAAAAAGAGCAATCAGAATTAAAAATACGCCTCGAATTAGTAAAAATTCGCTGACGTCTCGGACTCGAACCCTAGAAATTACGAGTCTCACGCACTAAGCACTAATAAATAAACACAAACACTAGCCACGAAAAAAAACGAGAACATATGCTATGAAATTTCCAATGCTACAGATCGTGATTATAGCAAAAAGGCACAAAAATGAACACTTTTAATGAACTCTTTTATTTCCAAGTTAGGTTAGAAAAAAATATTCTTACTAAAACACTAGCTGCTCGCTATCGTAATAATACAGCAACATCAATTTCTTACAAAACTGTTTCACTAAGCATAAAAACTGTTTCAGGTGATAGTTGACGACTTTCTGAGCTTCAAGGGCAGCAACTACCACACGGAGTGCTTCACATGTAGCCACTGCCAACTGTCTCTGGATGGGAAAAAGTTTGCAGTCCAGGAGAGTGGCAGAATGCTGTGTGCCACGTGTCTGCAGAATGCCTCTTTTACGTGCAACATATGCGACGAACCCATTATAGGGGGTAAGAAACAATGAGACAAACGTAACAAAAACCAAATGGTCGATTGTAAAACAAACCAAGTCTCCATTCTGAAGATGGTTCGTTCTTTCAGGAAAGTCTTGAAATTTGTTCACGCTAATTTTGGGTTTTAGCGGTTTGACTTTTGACTTCTTTTCAAATTCAACTCCTTTCCTTTGTTAAAAGGAAGGCAAACTCCACTATCGAACAGCAAAAGTGAGAAGGTCACGAAAAACGTTATCATCTTTAATGTTCAGATTTTCTAGCGTAATTTAAAAAGCACCCGTTGATCTAGTTTTCTCAAATTTAATCATTTTATCAAAAATACACCAAGCATATTGTTTCGCGAAATCCAAAGAGCTTCAAAGGCATACATTTTTCTTTCAAATTCGAAAGTTCGTTTAAAAAAAAACAATTCCGTTTTTTTTCTGTTCCATTGTGGAACCTGATCTAAACTATATTTTATGATTGGATAAATTAAATGTTTTACCAATGTAAAGTATTTAATATTAACCAATCACGATCCATCTAACTAACAACCCACTTATTTGTAAGTGCTGAAGTTACTTGTAATTTCAGCACCAGAGAGATTTGAATTTAACTTAGAAATTAGTTGGACTCTCCCGAGCACTTCAGCAGCCGCAATAAACCAGTATACCCTAGATCTATTGAGCCTAGCAGAGACTAGTTAAACAACCTGAGACTAGATAGTATAAGAGTAAGATTAGGATCGGTATTAGACTAAGAAGTTGCACGAATCTATCCGGCCGAAAATAAGATAGCGTGACGAGCAGACGGTGTACCCTATCCGAAATTACTCTATGAGTTAACCAACTCGGTTCTAACTCATCTGGTGCGACCATAAGTCTCGAACAAGACCTTAATAGCTTAGAATTAACCAAAATAGATTAGAAATTAGACAAAAACATTTACAAAATGTTATACGACAATAATTTAATCGAAATGTCTCTACGACTCAATAGATCAGAGCCAATATTCCGAACCATAACAGAACTACCCGGAATTGGAAGAAGACCTCGAACCAGAGACGACATACGACAAAGTAGAAACTTGCCATATAGCTATATGATAGTTAGGCAAAAACCAGAACAAACTTTTATATTTAGAATACTACTGGCAATGAATTTAGATTTTCATTTGCAAACATAAAACCTTGAAGTTAATCTTCAAAATCATTTCAGGCGCTAAACAAAATTATTAATATACAATAACGATTGATAAAAAGATCTAAGATCGTTTTCCTAAAACTCTGCAGTAATATACAAAACATGTTTGAAAAATATTTATTGAAAAATAAAAAATAAAAATTAGTAGCATGACAATAAATGGTTAGTAATCATAAATCATCCTGTTGTTCCAGCTCCATCACCTAAAACATAACAGCAATCATAAACCCACTAATATCATCAAAACACTAAATTTTTCCTTTACACACATTTAAAAATTTATTAAAACTTAAATTCACTTAATTTTAAAACCAGATCATCAAGGCTTATCCTTGGATCTTAAATCATTTTCTACTTAATTAAATTTCAAATTTGATCATCAAGGCTTATCCTTGGATCAAACAGAACAACTTTGTTCTCCCCCACCCACTTAATTAGTGTCTAACGACCTCAAACGTCGATTCACTACCCAACCCTTTCTAAAGACCCAAGACTAATAGAAATTTTTAAACAAAACTAATCATTCAAATTAGGATAAACAGTGAAGAACTTCGGTTATTCATCCTTCACTTGACCCCCCCTCTTACCAGACCCAGGATAAATCTTAGACTTAGTAAGTTTAAAATAGTATCTAACGAACTACTCGCGTTCTAATTATACCTGAACCTTGTGGATCGATTTACTATTCTCCAACCCTTGAACACAATCACTACCCCTAAGTAAGATTAAGTAAGTTAACACCTTAACTTATACTAGCCACGAGAAAGTAAAGAATCATTCTTCGGAATCGATATACTTTTCTCTCCAACCCTGAACAAACAGACCCAGGTTAAGCTAACCAAAAAATCGTAAGAACTAACAGTTTAAGAAAATAGAAACCATTTAACAACCCTTTGCATCCGTCATTCTAAACCTTATGTCATTTAAAAACCTAGGAAATAAACAGACAATCGTTTTACACAATTGTGAAATAGATAACAAAAAATACGACCTTGTAATCACACCTCATACACAAACAGTTGGATACATTCGAACAAAACGACAAACACTAAAAAGAAAAATAATAACGAAACAAAGACAAATAACACGAAAAAGATTTTCAAAAAATCGAAACGCATTTTCAGAATCAGAAACCAACAGTTTAGACGAACTTTACAAACTAAAAGAATCAATAGATAAAAATTGCCCACTTCACGATCAATTATATTTTTCTGACTCAGAAACAACTTCAAATTCATCACAAAGAGGAAAAAGAAGAATAAAAAAACAGTACAAACACAAACCAGTACATCTATACAATTGGAATCAACCAATTCGACACATTAATAATTACATATTAACAGTCATCGAACGGAAAAATGAGTTCAACGCACACCCCAGGTGACGAAACTCCAGATGATGATGAAATCTTTCCTTTTATAGTAGATGCAGATACTGATAGAGGACAACACATATTTTGTCAAAATTTACTCGTAAATTTATTTGAACCCGGAATCAGTCCATGTAAAACAGAGTTCCCAGATGTAAAAATCAAAAGACAAATCATAGACCACTACTTAAAAGATATATGCAACATAACACAACAGTATGGAATCTACTCCATAGAATTCACCTCACCAAACCATAATAATAGAAAATATACAATTCAAACAGACGATCTTGATTTAGAATTTTCAAAAGTTTTTTCAGAATATATAAAAAGCATCCAATATCATAACTCACAAAGAGCAAACTCCATATTCACCAATGAAGTTTTCGCAATAATATATAGTTATATTTCGATATTAGAAAACGAAATCCCAATAACAAATGTCTCACCGACAGAAACATCTAAACATTTAAGAGTACGACATGAAATCACACTACTCTCTAGTTATTTAAACATCATTAAAGAAAATTTCACGAAAGACGACGTTTCACAACATACAAAACACGATCTACAAAAAATTTTGGCATGGTTCATAATAGATTATTTCACACACAATATTGATTTAATTGCACAAGCAAGAAAAAATTTTAGACCCCAAAACTCGAACGATGATACCGCTATCACAGAACAATCAGATTATGTTTGGGACCCCGAATGGTCTCATCCCGCATTTATAAGCTTCCCACAATCAATCTCAAGTCAAGCAATAAGTACGATATCTTACACAAGAGATTATGTAAAAGTAATACCATTAACCATTGATGCAACACCATTAAACTATAATACATTTTTGCCCGATACACAAAATAATAGTTTAAACTCTACAGTTATACACAATGAAAACCTCAATGGAACTAGGAATCTTACTCAACAAGATATCCAGACACCATCACACTTCATAAATGAAGAAATTGTGCACACAACAACTACACAACAAAGTATTTCACCAATACGCCCAAATTTAACAACACCAAGAAATACAAATCCTTCACAAACACAGGTAACCTTACAATCAACCGTTAAACCTTCGGTTGCCCCTAAATATTCACATATGGATTACCAAACATACAGACCCATGACAATACCATCAAAAACACGCAAAACATTCACTAGAAACAACTTTACAGACCATAATTATAATTATACACATCCATCAAAAACATATAACCAACCACAAAGAAATTTTAACCAATATACAAGATCTCGAAATTGGGATAACCCAATGACCCAACCTAATTCAATAAATTTCCAAACAAATCCTCCACAGGATCACAGTGAAAATTACCCATTTTTTCAACAAAATAAAAATAAAAAACAGACATCTTATCAAATGGATTATTTATCCTCAGATGATGATTTCTTACAACCAGATATATTTGCACCAAATACTCAAGAATATCGTAGACAAGGAATACAGAGAACACGTACAAATCATAGAAATTTTTCTCCACAACCAATAGATGCACAACATCAACAACCAATTCAACAACAAAATCTAATTAATACACAATCTATTCAACCAATTCAACAACAAAATCCAATGACTGCACACTCGTATCAAGCATCACAAATGCAAAATGAAATACCACTCCCATATTATCTCCAACAACATGAAATAACAAGAAACCAACTTTCAAATTTTTCTCAAATGCCAAATGCAGCAGAATCATTACAAATGACAATGAATCCATACCTTATGGGTGGATCATCAATAACATCAAACAAACCTTTAATGGTTTTCACAGGAACAGACCCTGAATACTCTGTAGAAGATTATTTAAATGCAGTAACAGCAAACCTGATTTTAAATATTGGACCTGAACCAATTAATACGCCACTACATCAAAATTGGATACATCGACGCACAGCGTTAATACAAACAACCTTAGATGGCGCAGCCCAAAAATGGTTTTCCGTACTACCTCTAGAAATAAAATCAAACTGGAAAAGGTTTACACAGGAATTTTCAAAAATGTTTGACTCCGAAAGAAACAAACAACAACAAAGAGTTTTATGTAATGAAATTCGCAGATTACCAAACGAAACAATAAAGCAAATAGCAGTACGAATCGAAACACTAGTTCGAAAAGCATATTCATTAAATACACATGACTATAAAAACACAAAGATGACAGAAATCTTAATGATGACCTTAACACCACAATTAAGGAAAATAGCAATAAAAAAGAGAGCATCCCATCCTTCTTCAATTCGAGAACCCGATTTAGATTTTCGAAAACTAGTAGACAAATTAGAACAAGCAGAAATCACGATGAAACTAGAAGAAACGGAAAATCTGAAATTACAATACGTTAACAGAATTGAAACGACTCCCACTAATATTAATAATATACAGGAATCAGAGACAGACCTCGTTGAAAAAATCA